TCCCCATTTCTCTCTTTTTTCTTTTTTTTCTGCTCCCCCCCAACCCCTCCTCCTCACCCCCCCCCCCTTTACACACGCGTGTTCCCCCCCGGGCACGTCGCACACGCGTGTGCGCTCCCGCCGGAGGCCATAGGAAGGCGTTGGCTCTGATGGGGACTTGCTGGGCACCGTTTTTGTGTGTGTGTGTCCCAAAAAAAACACCCCCAACAACTTCGTCACTTGGCGGGGGGGGGAGACGGGGGTTCTTCCGTCAGCAGCATCCGGGTGACCCTTACCGTTTTCCCGCAGGCCAGGAAGGAGACCCCCAGGGCGATGAGACACAGCCAGGTCTGCCGAGGAAAGAAGGTGGTTGAGAAAGGTGGTGGGACCTTACGGGAGCTCGTTTGGGTCTTCATCACGCGCTTCAACGGCAAATAAATTCGCCTCTGAAGTCGTACGGGGAGGAGGGAAGATCCTGAAGCGAGGCCAGGGAAGGGCAACGGAGGCGGTGAGGGGGCTGGAGGTCAAGGAGAAGGGGCTGGATCCCAAGGAGAAGGTTTTGGAGAAGAAGAAGGGGTTGGAGAAGGAGGAGAAAGGGCTGGAGAACCAAGGAGAAGGGTCTGGAGGTCAATGAGAAGGTTGTGAAGATCAAGGAGAAGGTTATGAAGACCAAGGAGAAGGGCCCGAAGCCCAAGGAGAAGGGTCTAGAGTCCGGAGAAGGAGAAGAAAGGTCTGGAGAACCAAGGAGAAGGGTCTAGAGGTCAATGAGAAGGTTGTGAAGCCCAAGGAGAAGGGGCTGAAGCCCAAGGAGAAGGGTCTAGAGGTCAATGAGAATGTTGTGAAGACCAAGGAGAAGGGGCTGAAGCCCAAGGAGAAGGGTCTGGAGAAGAAGAAGGGGCTGGAGAAGGAGGAGAAAGGTCTAGAGAACCAAGGAGAAGGGTCTAGAGGTCAATGAGAATGTTGTGAAGACCAAGGGGAAGGGGCTGAAGCCCAAGGAGAAGGGTCTGGAGAAGAAGAAGAGTCTGGAGAAGGAGGAGAAAGGTCTAGAGAACCAAGGAGAAGGGTCTGGAGGTCAATGAGAAGGTTGTGAAGATCAAGGAGAAGGGGCTGGAGAAGAAGAAGGGTCTGGATCCCAAGGAGAAGGTTATGAAGCCCAAGGAGAAGGGTCTGGAGAAGAAGAAGAGTCTGGAGAAGGAGGAGAAAGGTCTGGAGAACCAAGGAGAAGGGTCTAGAGGTCAATGAGAAGGGTATAAAGACCAAGGAGAGGGTCTGGAGGCCAAGGAGAAGGGTATGGGGATCAAGGTGAAGGGCCTGAAGCCCAAGGAGAAGGGTCTGGAGAAGAAGAAGGGTCTGGAGGCCAAGGAAAAGCGTCTGGAGAAGGAGGAGAAGGGTCTGGAGCCCAAGGAGAAGGGGTCTCCCTCTCCCTCCACCCAAACCCGGGTGCCCCCAGAGAGGTTGTGGGAGCCCTTACCAAAAAAAGTACTGGTGACGGCATCCCCATCTTCGTGTTTCTGCTGGAGGTCCCTCAGCTGCTGGGACTCCTGGCACACGTAGATGGTCAGTCTGGGCCGCACCATCCTAGGGAGAGAGCAGGGAGTGAAAGCCACCGGGTTTGCTCAAGGACAACACTTTGCCAACGCTTTTCCCTCCCTGGTATCCTCAGAAAGAAAAAAGGAGATGGACAGACTCAGCTCGAAGCAAAACCATCCTGGGCATCCCCATCCTGCTGATGCACCGAGGCTGGAGCAATCCCAAATCCAGGCTGGGAAGAGAATGGATGGACTGGGAGCAGCCCTGAGGAGAAGGACTTGGGGGTGTTGGTGGAGGAGAAGTTCCACACGCCCCAGCAACATGAGTTGGTAGCCCAGAAAGCCACTGGCAACCTGGGCTGCACCCCCAGCCCTGTGGCCAGCAGGGCAAGGGGGGGGATTCTGTCCCTCTGGGGAGACCCCCCCTGCCCTCAGTGCTGCCTCCAGCTCTGGGGCCACCAACATCCCAAGGACACGGAGCTGTTGGAGCGGGGCCAGAGGAGGCCCCGGAGATGCTGGGAGGGCTGGAGCCCCTCTGCTGGGAGGGGGGCTGAGAGAGTTGGGGGGGTTCAGCCTGGAGAAGAGAAGGCTCCAGGGAGACCAGGAAAGCTGGGGAGGGACTCGGGATCAGGGAGGGGAGCCATGGGATGAGGGGGAAGGGTTTTCAACCAAAAATTGGGAGATTTAGGTGGGATCTGAGGAAGAAGTTGTTTGGTGTGAGGGTGGTGAGAGCCTGGCCCAGGTTGGCCAGAGAAGCTGTGGCTGCCCCATCCCTGGAGGGGCTCAAGGCCAGGTTGGAGGGGGCTTGGGGCAACCTGGGCTGGTGGGAGGTGGCCCTGCCCAGGGCAGGGGGGGGCACTGGGGGGGCTTTAAGGTCCCTTCCCACCCAAATCTGTGACTCTCTGATCTTCTATGACTTCACGCCTCTGCCGATCCACAGACACCCACCGAGGGACCCTGCCTCATTCCAAAGGCTCCCCCAACCTTTCACCTGCTGCGTCATGAAATCGAGGCCTTTTTGGGAACAAGGAACACGTGAATTGCTGAAGAGATGGTGAAAAAAAACAGGGGAAAGGTCGTGTGGGTTGGTGGGAGCAGCAGAGAACAGATTTCTAAGCAAATTTGGCCACGAAAGCCTCAACTTCCCCATGGGTTCTGACCCTGGGCTGACTTTAGTGCCTGTAAAATGGGACAATACTCTTGGAAAGGTGAGAAAATATCTCCAGGGGCTTTATCCTGCCTTCAAGGCGTCGCGCCTTGAAGCCCCACTTACCAAATAGGCCACAAAGCCCAGGTAGATCACGCTGAGAATCCCAGCCCCGATGTACAGAGCCATGTGGTTGAGGGACATGACGTAGGCCACCACGAAGTACATGTTGATGCAGCAGATGAGGAGGATGAGGAGGCCACCGGCCACCTTCCAGAACCTGGGAGAGGAAGCAGAGCACGACGGGGTGAGGTGGAGAGGACGTTCTTGCCTTCAGAGGGGATGGTCTAAGCCAGGAGCACCCCAGCATCCCCCGTCTCCCGCTTGGAGACCGTTCCCTTCCTACTTACAGTCCATTGGCAAAATCGTTCATGACGCTGGGGAGGCTGGTGAAGGTCAGGACGGGGATCAAAGCGAAGGGAAGCTGGAAGAAGCGAGAAAATATAGAAGAACAAAGAGTGGAAATTAACTCTGATTATCTCAGGAGGGAGAAACATCCAAGGCTTGGTGGCATCTGACAGCACTTCCCCAAAGCAAGTGAGTCAAAGGGAGGAGGAAGCCATTTCAGACCTTGGCTCATCTTCTCCATATCCTCCCAGAAGATCAACACCTCCCCCAGGCCCCAAAAAACCCAAATATTCAGCGCTAGATGTTTTTTTTCTCTGAGGCCTCACCCCAAAACTGGGCATTTCTGCTCACCTGGAGGCTCATGAGAACGTTTAAGAAGTCGTTCATGCCCGTCAGGTGCTCGACATCCTGAAAGATGGCCACCAAGAGGGTGGGGGTGATGGCGATAGAGCGTGTCAGCAGCACCCGGGCGAATCGGGACCAACGCAGGTTCAGGAAGCCCTGCAGGAAAAAAAAAACACGGATCAGGAGTGATAACGGCACAGAGACTTCGAGGAAAAGGGGATCTCGGGGCAGGATTAAAAGCTGATTTATCTAAAAGGTCCATCAAGGTGTTTTATGGAGCTTCCAGCAAGAGCTGAGCATCCAAGGAAGGGAAATCATCAATATTAGCTCTAAAGGCTCAGGAATAGAGAGAAGGGGGACGTGGGCAGACGCTCAAGAGCGTTAATTACCTCCATAACGAACTGCCCCGAGTAGGTCCCCGTCATCGTTGAGCTCTGGCCGGCGGCGAGGATCCCGATGGCCCAGATGTAGAGAGCGGCAGGGCCAAAGTAACAGCCCAGAACGGCGCCCTGGAACGGAGATTGGGAGGCTCCCGTCAGTTCAGTCCCACCTCCCAGAGCAGGAAAACCCGGCAAATTCCCTTCGAGACCATGGGAATCACGAGGGGTCGAGGTGGAAAGGAAGGACTAATTAATTTGTAGGAGAGGGAAGAGCGTTTCCCAACTCACCCCTTTGTAGATATCCACCTCCAGCGTCTTGTTGTCGTTGGGGAAGAGGGAGGAGTGGGGGCTGCTGGCGTTGACGCAGATGGAGTGCTGCAAGGAGATCGAGGGGACAGGAGGTTGGGTTTTTCTCAGCCAGGGGAGAGCCAGGAGGAGAAGGAACACAACAAAGCTGGGGAGGGGTGGCTGACACAGCAGAGGGCTGGGCCACCATCCAGCGAGACCTGGCCAGGCTGGAGAGTTGGGCAGAGAACTTGATGAACTTCAACAGAGGGTGCTGCACCTGGGGAGGAATCACCCCCCAAACCAGGACAGCTTGGGGGTGACCTGCTGGAAACCAGCTCTGAGGAAAAAGATCTGGGAGTCCTGGTGGCCACCAGGATGCCCAGGAGCCAGCAATGTGATGGCCAAGAAAGCCAATGGCATCCTGGGGGGCATCAGGAAGAGCATGGAGAACCTCAAGGGAGGTCATCCTGCCCCTCTGCTCTGCCCTGGGGAGGCCACAACTGGAGCACTGGGACCAGTTCTGGGCTCCCCAGTTCCAGAAGGACAGGGAACTGCTGGAGAGGGGACAGCAGAGGGCTACAGAGATGCTGAGGGGCCTGGAGCATCTCTCTGATGAGGAAAGGCTGAGGGATTTGGGGCTTTTTGGGCTGGAGAAGGCTGAGGGGGGATCTCATCAAGGGTGGGTGTCAGGAGGATGGGGCCAGTCTTTTTCCAGTGGTGCCCAGTGACAGGACAAGAGGAAGCGGGCACAAACTGGGACAGAAGTTCCACCTAAACATGAGTAGGAACTTCTTCACTTTGAGGGTGGCAGAGCCTTGGAAGAGGCTGCCCAGAGAGGTGGTGGGGTCTCCTTCTCTGGAGACCTTGAAAACCCCCCTGGATGAATCCAACCTGCTCTGGGTGACCCTGCTCTGGCCAGAGGGGTTGGAGGAGATGATCTCCAGAGGTCCCTTCCCACCCCATGTCATTCTGTGACTCCGTGAAATGGCTTCACGTGAGGAGCGGTGGGTGCTGGAGGTCCCAGGGTGCTGGGTGCTGCTTCAGGCCAGTTTAAATTGTAATAATCAGCACCCCTGGTCTTTTTTCCTTTTTTTCCAGAATTTGCAGGCTGTGCTTGACCCGGGAGCACTGAGAAGGCTCAGAGCTGCCCCTCAGGTTCCCTCAGGAACCCCAAAAAGCCCCGGGGTTCGGTGTCACCCAGAAGAAAAGTCCCAGCCCCAACTCACCACGTCGGCATTCGTCTGGTTAAAGAAAGCCTCAGCGAAGACGGTGACGACAAAGATGTTAATGATGAAGGAGACAAAGAGAGCGATGCAGGACTCAATGAAGAAATACTTGTTGGCTTCTCGTACTTCCCTCTTGTTGGCACGGTTCACTTGCCGGGACTGAAAAAATAAAAAAGGGGACATTGTGACAACAAAAGGCTTGAGAAACAGGAATTTGTGATTATATTACTTATTTCTCTAATTATACCCGATTTAGAGAGCGGGACATGGGTCACCGGGCAGGAAGAGAACGTGCTGGAGGGAACAAAAAACAAACTCCAATATTTGCAGAAGCAAACGGTTGGTTTTGGCCACGCTGGCCAAGAGATCACTTCTGGTCCCAGATCCACAGGGGCCACGCGTTGGGGGACATGTGTCCCCAAGGTTCTCAAGGGTTTCCCTGTCCCAGGGATCCCACCAGACCCCTTCAGGGGGTTTGTTATGGTCCCACAGAGTAAATGCTGAAAGCAGATGCCCAGAGGGTGGGATTTTTCAGGAGTTTGGGGCCTCCCAGTGCTCCATCCTCATTAATCACCAACTGGTTGGACTGGGAAGGGCCCCTGAGGACCATGACCTGGACTGAGGGGAGAGAGTCCACCCTCAGTTGGCAGAGGACACCGGGTTGGGTGGGATGTTGATCTGCTGGAGGGTGGGAAGACTCTACAGAGGGGTGTGGACAGGTTGGATCCATGGGATGAGGCCAAGGGTGGGAGGTTCAACCAGGCCAAGTGTCCCACCAGCCTCATGGAGGCTCCAAGCTGGGGAAGAGAGGCTGGAGCTGCCTGGTGGAAAAGGACCTGGGGGTGTTGGTCACCAACCAGCTGAAGATGAGCCAGCAGTGTGCCCAGGTGGCCAAGAAGGCCACCAGCATCCTGGCCTTTATCAGGAAGAGTGTGGCCAGCAGGACTGGGACAGTGATGGTCCCCCTGGACTGGGCACCGGGGAGGCCCCACCTCAAGGGCTGGGTCCAGTTTCGGGCCTGCATCCTGGCCTTTATCAGGAAGAGTGTGGCCAGCAGGACTGGGACAGTGATGGTCCCCCTGGACTGGGCACCGGGGAGGCCCCACCTCAAGGGCTGGGTCCAGTTTCGGGCCTCTTATGACAAAAAAAGGACATTGAGGGGCTGGAGTGAGTCCAGAGAAGGGCGACGGAGCTGGTGAGGGGTCTGGAGAAGAAGGAGAAGGGGCTGGAGAATCAAGGAGAAGGGGCAGGAGAACCAAGGAGAAGGGGCTGGGCAAGGAGAAGGGTCTGGAGAAGAAGAAGGGGATGAAGACCCAGGAGAAGGGTCTGGAGAACTTGTGAGGAGCAGCTGAGGGAGCTGGGGGTGTCCAGCCTGGAGAAAAGGGGGCTGAGGGGAGACCTTCTCGCTCTCTCCAACTCCCTGAAAGGAGGGTGGAGCTGGGGGGGGTCGGTCTTTTTTCCCAAGGAACGAGAGGAAACTGCCTCACGTTGCTCCAGGGGAGTTTTAGGATGGATTTGGGGAACAATTTCTTCCCCAAAAGGGTTGTCAACCATTGGAAGAGGCTGCCCAGGGCAGGGGTGGGGAGACCATCCCTGGAGGGATCTGAAAGCCGGGCTTGTAGATACGGATCAGTGATGGTTGGTCAATGTTGGGTTGATGGTTGGACTGGATAATCCAAAAGGTCCCTTCCAACCCAGGCAATTCCATCATTCTGCGATTCTATCACCTCCTTCCAGCCCCTCTGCCCTGGGCAGGAAGAGCTTCCACTAATTAGCGCAGGCGCTTACCTTGACCAAGGCAGAGTGGAGGTACATGTTGTGGGGCATGATCACGGCCCCCACGATCCCCACGGCCTGTTCCAGCTGGGGGGTCCCGCAGTCCTTGCAATAGGGGATGAACAGTCCCTGCAGCAGCTTCCCCTGGTCGGGTCTGACTGTGATATACTGGCCACGGAGAAAAAAGAACCACAGAGATTTTAGCATGACGTCCTTTGCCCGTTTGAAGATGCTCCAAAGCCAAAATGTGGCCGTTTTTTTGGTCAAAAATAAACCCCAACGTGTAATTGTTGGCTCTAATAAAACCAGGGGTGTTGGACAGAAGAGCCAGGTGATGGCCACGCATCAAAACCACACACCCAGCTTCAAATATATTTCATTTGAAGTGTCCTTCCCCTCCCTGTTTTGGTGCTGGAGTAGTCGAGGGGGACAGGGAATTGTGTGACCAACATGGAGATGGTGGAGGTACCTCGTATCCAAACGTCAGAGCCATGATGGTAATGAGGAAACCAAAGAAGGCTTCCAGCTTTCGCAAGCCTGTGGAGGAGAAAAAGAATAGAACCATCATGAGTTTAGAAAAGCTCAGTCTCTTGAGAAAAGCTTTATTTTCTGGCATTTGGGAGGAGGATTTACCATATTTGTCCAGGAAGAGGAAGACGAAGGTGTCGGCGATGGTGATGAGGACGCCGCCCCACAGCGGGATCCTATGGGAGACCCCCAGGAGAGACATCAGCCCCACCAAAACCACCTCAGAGTCCAAAATCTCCTTTTATTTTGGGCGCTCCTTGGGGGAAGGAACCCCAAGGTTTGTTTGGAGCCCGACAAGGCGCAGGGCAAGGGTTGTTTTTTGCACAAAGAGCTCAGAGAAGAGCTTTTCTCCTCGAATTTCTAAAGCGAATCACACGTCCACACCGAGAATGAGAGGAGTGAGCGGGATCTCAGGGGGGTTGGAACTCCATGATCCTTAAGGGTCCTTCCAACCCAAACCATTCCATGATTCTATGGCTTTTAATAACTCCTTGGTACAAAATTGTACCTTCCTGTTACATTTCCATTTCCCACCTTCCCAGCCAAAGAGGAAACCTTTCTAAGAGTCATTTATTAGGGATATAAAATTCACCAGGAAGGCTGCAGCCCAATTTTGATGTCTATTTTAGCCAGTTATGCCTCAAATTATAAGCCAGAACCTGTGGTTCTCCTTATAAATGAGAAAAAAAGGGAAACAGGCACCAAAAGGCTGAGTCATGGGAGAGCGAGCGCAGCTCGGATGAATCACCCTCCGCAAAGAGCTGATATGGGAAGATTTATAGGAAATAAATGAGCCTTTTTTTGGCACAGAGGGTGTCACTTTCTTAATCCCAGAGAGGAGGACTCATTTCCTGCTGCCTTCTGACGACAAACCCCACTTACTTGCCCATAGACAGGAGGTTGATGGCAATGGCCGAGCCGATGACTTCTTGCATGTCGGAGCCGATGATGGCCAGTTCCACCATCAGCCACAGGATAATCCGCGGAACCTGGAGGTGAAGAAACATCCAACGCCGTTAAAAGGAAGGAAAACAGCTTCTCCCTTTAAATTCCTGGATGAGCGCGGGGTTGTGGTGATGGTGGATCCAGGAATGGTCTCATTTCCCTGGATGTGGCGTGGAAAATACGTTGATAATTGTCACTTTAGGGCTGGTCTGGAGCAGAAATCCAGGCTACCCATGGCATTCCTTGGTTGCTTATATTATCTAAATGACTCGCCTCGTTATGTTTCCACATCCCGAGGTGCTGGAAGGGAGCCTGAGAAGATGTTTCCATGGTGGGACCCATGACACAGGCTCAGGTGTTGGATGAGAAACATCAAACTGCCCAGAATTGGGGACACCGAATTCCCCCCCTACAAAGCTCTTTCCCAAGGCATGGCCTCACTCATCCGCAGCTGAGCCCTCTCTTACACAAGCCCTGACTCTTTCTTCAGCAGGGAAACATAACAGCCCCATGGAAAGGGCTTGTTCTAAAGGGTCATCTTCTCTCCTTGTGATTCCTCGAGTTTATTTAAGCAGAAAGAATTTCAACCTCGGGAGGAAAAGTTCAACCAGGAAAGCTGAAATCCTGGGGCTCCTTCCTGACTCTTTCCAATTCACTGGCAAATTCCAGGACGTTCACCCACCTCCCTTTTTTCCCCACTGGGACCTGAGGAGTCCCCCCATGAGCTCTCATAATGGCCCAGGTTCTTAACGAGCCCTTCGCCGCTGCTAAATTAGGGCTGCAATTAAAATCTTCCTCCAAATCTGCCTTTCTTCCAACTGTGAGCCAAACCGCAAGAAATCAACTTCATCGTAGAATCATAAAACCATAGAATGGTTAGAGCTGGAAGGGACCAACAATTTGTTGTCCCCCAGTTTGGCCAGAAAAGCAAGAAGTGACGATGAAGATGCATTTGGGCAACGGGGACGCTTTCTCCTGCGGAGGATTTGGGACTTAAGGGGCAGCGGTGACACCTCAGGAATCACCTACCAGGTCCAAAACCAACACCCACCTGGGAATGATCCCAAGGACTCGCCCAGGACCGGGATTGTCCCCCCCTCTCCTGGGGATGTCACCCACCTTCTGGTACTGCCGGTTGCAGACTTCGGCGAGGTGCAGCCCCGTCACCACCCCCAGCCTGGCCGCCAGCCGCTGCAGGAGCAGCCCGATGATGGTCGCCAGCATCAGGACCCAGAGAAGCTGTGGGAGACACCAAGGTGGAGGTGGGTGCCTTGGGGCAGCAAGAAAAGACGACCACAAACAGGGTCTCCTACACCCTGAGCGCACCTTTTAGGCATTTAAAAATACACATTATTGTCATTTAGAGATTGGTTTACGTGCCCAGGAAGGATCCATATGGATATAAAGGCAGGATTCACAGCCAGAGGGGGCATCTGAGGGTCTCACCTTCCCCTTTCTCCTTCTCCGGGGTGTTTTCAGCATTTCACCTGTAGGTTTTTTTTGCACTGACCTTAAATCCTGCCACGGCCCCGGACTGTAAATCCGACTCGATGTTGCCCGGATCCAGGTAAGCAATGCTCATCAGAAACCCCGGCCCCGTGAAAGCCCAGAGCTTGCGGAAACTAAAGCAGGAGTGCTGGGGAAGGGAGAGAGAGAGAGGGATGGATGGATGGATGGATGGATGGATGGAGGGATGGAGGGATGGATGGAAGGAGGCATCAGCCATCAGCCCCACGGCGCAGCCCCCTCCTAACGCAGGGGACACACCATTCCCACCACCCACCCCGCCTCCCGGGGATAAAAAAAGGCAAAAGAAAGCAGGGAATTGATTTTAATTTCCTCACTGGCCACTTCAGCCTGTTCTTTCATCCTAAGTTCTCCAGAAATCTCTGGTCTTCATCCAAAGAGTTTAGGAGCAGGCTCTGGAAGAGCCAAGGACACGCTTTCTGGGTGGGGGTGGGGTGGGGGGAGATGAATCCTCCCGAAATGTTGCTTAATCCAAAGCAAAGACGGCACCTACACCCCGCCCCCAAAGGGGACAAGGCTGTGACAAAAGCCAGGGAAACACTAATCCTTGATAAGGGAACAAAGAACCAAGGTCCTGGGGCTACAAAAGAAGATGTTTCTCTGCTCTTTAGCGGGTCTGGGGAGACAAATCCTGGGTGATGAATCATTAACTCCACAGTTAATCACTGAGCACCCCCTTCTCCTCCAGCTCCCCAGCCAGCCAGCCCAGTTACCCTTCCCAGTCTGGGCAAGAAGGGGAACTGGCACCCGAGGAAAGGACTCACTCAGGAACCAAGGGTTGGCAGATTTTTCCACTGGGATTTTCCCATGGGAAGGAAGGGAGGGAGGCTCAGCCCCACTCACCGTTTCATCTTCGGGAATGGGGATCTTGCTGTCGAAGTAGGTGGTAAAAGGCTCCTCCGAGGAGGCATCCGGTGGCTGCAGAGGGTTCATGCTGCTGGAAATGGTATTCACCATCTCCCCATGATCCCCGGAGGCATCTTCTGCCGGGGAAAGAGAAGCACGAAAGGAAAGAGGAGTGAGTGAGGACCCCTGGAAACATGGAAAAAAAAACCAGAAGAGTTTGGCAAGACCAAAAAGAGCCCGTTCTGCCCTCACTGCTGACGCTAATTAAGCCACTAAGAGATAATCACATGAAAAAAGAAGGTACTGGTGTAAATCCACCCCAGGATTGCCCTAACTCCCCTCTCCCAGGCAGTGAGAGGGGGCCGGCTCCCTGGCACTTTATTTATTCGGCTTAATTTTAAAACAATCAAAAAAAAAAAAATACAAGCCGTCCCGGGGAAGTGCGCGACGTAACAGCAGCCCCACAGAACATCCGTAATCATTAACTGGCACCCAACGCGCCAGATCCCAGAGAAAACCACGGCTCTTTTCGCTCCGTTTCGGAGAGAATTACCCCAAAAAACCCTCCGGGAGAAGTTTAATCCTGGAAGGGACCCCGATTCCCCGCGAGCTGTAGGGAAGGTGATTTTGGAAGTAAATGAGAGTCAGAAGCCCCCTTCCCCGATTATTTGCCCTTCTCTTAAATCCCGAGGCGGGGGCAGGAGGCAGAGCCAGCATGAGTGAATTTTCAGGCCAATTCCTAAATTAAAAGGAATTCTAAATTGAATTTGCCAGGAAGGTGAAGGTGGGGTCACTCCAGCCAGGAAAATGCACCTTCTCCCCGCTGATGTGTTAAAACCTGTAAACCTCCCCCCCTCCCGATTCTTCCCCTCCCTGCTTTCAGCAAAAAGCCCTTTTTTTTCTTCCAAAAAGGAGCCCTTACTCACTTCTGCTCTCCCTCCGTGGCATTTTGCTCTAAGAGCCCAAGAGCCACACGTGTCCCCAGCGCCCGACCTTGGGAAGAGGAGGAAGGGAAAAAAAAAAACCCAAGGCTGGCTCTTTTACCAACTTTCCTATTGCATCATCGGGCCCCAAGCGAAGTCATTGATTCCTCCTTTTTTTTGGCCCCTGCCTCCCAAACAGAATCACAGACTGCTGAGGATTCAGGGAAGGGTGGAGGAGCTGCCAGGGACCTGGAAAGAGGTGATGTGGTGCCTGGTTTGAGTGATGCTCGGGGAGGAGCAGAGCTCCTGGGCAGGGGGAGAAGCAGTAATTTATGAAAATGGCTTTTTGATGCTTTTTCTTGTGACGTTTCAGAGGATCCCAGAATGATATGGGGTGGGAAGGGACCTCTGGAGATCATCTCCTCCAGCCCCCTGGTTGGACTCATCTCATCCCTCCCAGGTTGGATTCATCCAGGGGGGGTTTTGAATGTCTCCAGAGAAGGAGACCCCACCACCTCTCTGGGCAGCCTCTTCCAGGGCTCTGCCACCCTCAAAGTCAAGAAGTTCCTACTCATGTTTAGGTGGAACTTCTTCTGTCCCAGTTTGTGCCCGTTTCCTCTTGTCCTGTCACTGGGCACCACTGGAAAAAGACTGGCCCCATCCTCCTGACACCACCCTTGATGAGATCCCCCCTCAGCCTTCTCTTCTCCAGCCCAAAAAGCCCCAAATCCCTCAGCCTTTCCTCATCAGGGAGATGCTCCATCATCATCTTTGTAGCCCTTTGCTGTCCCCTCTCCAGCAGTTCCCTGTCCTTCTGGAACTGGGGAGCCCAGAACTGGTCCCAGTGCTCCAGCTGGGGCCTCCCCAGGGCAGAGCAGAGGGGCAGGATGACCTCCCTCCACCTGCTGGTCACACTGTTCTTGATGCCCCCCCAGGATGCCATTGGCCTTCTTGGCCACGACGCTCTGAGCTCTGTCCTTCAGCCAGTTTTCAACCCACCTCCTTGTCCTTTCTTCTAACCCAAACCCCCGGACAGCCCTGTTTGCCCAAGGGATTTGGAGCGACCCGTGGTTGTGTCGTCGGGGCAGGAGGGAGATGGGTTGGCAGAAGACAGGCTTGTCCATCTGGTTAAACCAGCTCCGGGAGATGTGAAACTCCTCCTGAGGTCACCTCGAAAGCGGGGAGGGTTTGTGTCGGCCGTGGTAACAAGGGGAGGGAAACGAGCCCATGGAATCCTTGGGGTGGTTTTTGCAGGAGAAAGGAATTAACGGATGAGAGCTGATCGGTGAGCCTTACCGTAGGGCGCCTTCTGCTCCGTGTCTGAGTTCCCCATGGTGGAACCCTTCTGGTGGCTGGGAAACTGGGTTAAACTGGCCACCTTGGCTGTAAAGGAGAGAGAGGAAAAAAACCTGTCAAGAAGGAGAATAAAAACCAACAGGAGAGAGTCCACCTCCTGGAAGGACAGATCGACCTCCCTCCGGGTTCTTTGCTCCCAGAGGAGTGAGCTCCCAGCAAAGGAGCTCCTTTTCCAGCCCTGAAGAACTTTTTGGGGGTCAGGTCTACCTCCCTGGTCCTCCTTCAGCTCTGAAGAACTTTTTGGGGCCAAATCTACCTCCCTGGTCCTTTTCCAGCTCTGAAGAACCTTGTGGGGCCAGATCTACCTCCCTGGCCCTCTTCCAGCCCTGAAGAACATTGTGGGGCTGGATCCACCTCCTGGCCCTCTTCCAGCCCTGAAGAACCTTCCGGCGGTCAGATCTACCTCCCTGGTCCTCCTTCAGCTCTGAAGAAGCTTTTGGGGCCAGATCTACCTCCCTGGTCCTTCTCCAGCTCTGAAGAACTTTGTGGGGCCAGATCTACCTCCCTGGCCCTTTTCCAGCCCTGAAGAACCTTTTGGGGCCAGATCTACCTCCGTGGTCCTTCTCCATCTTTGAAGAACCTTGTGAGGCCAGATCTACCTCCCTGGTCCTTCTCCAGCTCCAAAGAACCTTTCGGGGCCAGAAAAGGAGCATTTTTGCTTTGGAAACTCTGTGTTGCACCAACCTGGAGAAGGTTTGAGCAGATGGAGTGGACAAACCAAGGCGAGAGGAGTGTTTGCAAACAGCTGGGCTTGGGCCAGAACCCATTACGAAACTCCAGCGAAGGAAACAAGAGTGGAATTTCCTTTATGTGTAAAAATCACACATCATCCCTCCCCTTCCAGGCACGATTCTTACGTCCATGCCGCGCCCTGTCCAGGGCACGTGGAGTTTCTTTTAAGGCCACGACGTAACTCTTTCATCACGGTGTATTTTTAAATATTCAACTGAACCCACGTGGAAAGGAGCTGGGATCAGGTATGGGACTTTGGATGGAGCCGGGCTTTAAAAGGTCAACCCCCCCCCGCCCCTTCCAAAACCCCTCAAGGACAAGTCAAAGCACCAACAATATATACCTTTGGTATGTAAAGCACTTAATCTCCCTCAAACCCCGTTGTAAATTAACGGGAGATCTCCTAATAACCCAGCAGCATTGGTTGAGTGAAGATATAAAAGGCAAACATTAGCCAGGAATTCATTTTCAGTGATTTGAAGCAATTTTAAGTTTTCAAAGATTAATTCCCCCTCTTCCAAAACCAGCTCCAAAGGTGGTTTGTGACCCAGCCAGGTGAAAATAATCCAAAGGTTGTTTCAGGAAGGGCTGGGGCGATGAGTTGTTTTAACAAGAGTTATTTATCCATTCCAATATGCTCACGCCGTTAACGCATTGGCTCTGGGGCAGCAGGGGGAATAAAAGCAAAGGAATAAAAGGAATAAAGCAAAGGGATAAAAGGAATAAAGCTCCAGCAGCTCCCAGTTCCGCACAATTCACCTCTGGCCCCCGCCAACCAACCTGGGATCAGGAATTCACTTATTCTGCCACTTTGCAAATAACCTGGAGCGTTTGCTCTGGAGCAGCAGAAGGAGGAGGATTCATCCCGGAGAAGGATCCATCCTGGAGGAGGATTCATCCCAGAGGAGGATTCATCCCGCTTGGTCGGGGACAACCTCGAGGCTGGAGCAAAGCTTTTCTCTGTCACACACGCTATTTTCCATCTCTACAGGCTCCTTTTTAAAGCACTAAGCCCAAGGGCTTTCATTAAAAAAAACGAAAGCCACCTAAAAATGAGCAAGAAGCCATCTTTTCCCCGAAATCTAATTCCTTCAGGAGGAAACAGAGCTTACCCTGCCAGGCAGCAGGTCCCAGGAAACGCTCCTCTCTGTTAACGAAGGCAAAGAGGAAGAAGAATCACGTGAGGAGCGTTCGTTACAGTGTGGGACCGACCTCGGTATCTCCTCACAAAACTCATCCCGGCTTGGGTGGGAGGGGATTGGGTTCCCCTATCTCCTCCGGCAGCCGCCCGGCTCGTCAGGAGCTCAGCTCATCCACCACCCGATGGTTTTCGCACGCCTGCAGGCTCGGAAACGCTTCCTCAGCCCTTTCTCCTACCCAGCTCTGAACCGGCAGTGTCCTCAGGAGCCAACGGTGACCCAGCAGTGTGCCCAGGAGCCAACAGTGACCCAGCAGTGTCCTCAGGAGCCAACAGTGACCCAGCAGTGTGCCCAAGGTGGCCAAAAAGGCCAACGGACGACATCCTGGCTCGTATCAGGAATAGCGTGACCAGTGGGAGTAGGGAAGTGATGGTGCCTCTCTGGATGAGCTTTAAGGTCCCTTCCAACCCAAAACGTTCTGGCAATTCCACCACTTCCCTGGGTTGGAGGGGACATCCATTCAAGTGGTGGTTTAAGGGTTGGATGGTTTAAGTTCATCAAGCCCAACCATCAACCCACCACTGCCCAACCCACCACTGCCCCATGGCCCTCAGCACCGGCTTTTAGATCCCTCCAGGGATGGTGTTTGGGGAGTGGAGCCATAGGACGAGGGGGAAGGGTTTTAAACCAAAAAATTGAGGAGATTAAGGTGGGAACTGGGGAAGAACTTCTTTGGTGTGAGGGTGGTGAGAGCCTGGCCCAGGTTGGCCAGAGAAGCTGTGGCTGCCCCATCCCTGGAGGGGCTCAAGGCCAGGTTGGAGGGGGCTTGGGGCAACCTGGGCTGGTGGGAGGTGGCCCTGCCCAGGGCAGGGGGGGGCACTGGGGGGGCTTTAAGGTCCCTTCCCACCCAAATCTTCACGCCTCTGCTGATCCACAGACACCCACCGAGGGACCCTGCCTCATTCCAAAGGCTCCCCCAACCTTTCACCTGCTGCGTCATGAAATCGAGGCCTTTTTGGGAACAAGGAACACGTGAATTGCTGAAGAGATGGTGAAAAAAAACAGGGGAAAGGTCGTGTGGGTTGGTGGGAGCAGCAGAGAACAGATTTCTAAGCAAATTTGGCCACGAAAGCCTCAACTTCCCCATGGGTTCTGACCCTGGGCTGACTTTAGTGCCTGTAAAATGGGACAATACTAATCCCTTCCAATAATACCGATTCCAACCCAAACCCTTCTGTGATTCTACGATCTTCAAGCAACTCCTCAGCACCAGGAGTGAGCTCACCACGCCCCTTTCTGCCTCCTGGAGGCAACCACTCACCACAACCACTGCCGGGTTTGACTTTACACCCCGTATTCCCACTCCTTCCCAGGCAGAATATTCCTTGGAATAAAGCAAAAAGCCAAGAGCGGGACATCATGAGGTTGCTCTAATCACAGAAGCAAAGACACTAGAGCCATTGTCTCCACCTCGGAGACTCACGGAGAGAACAAGGGATCATTCTTCCAGCTCCAGCCCTCCCTTTTCGCTGACGAAACCATACGCCTCCAGCCAACGGGTCTTTTCTTCGCAAGGAACCCCCCCCTTGACGTGGAGACACGGTGGGGGGGTTTGCTAGATGAGCCCTGGCTCATGCTGGGAGCGGTTCCTGCCATTGAGATTCCCGCCTTCGACTTCCCGCTTGGAAAAACTCTGGTTCCTCTGGGGCACGTTGTGACCATTAACTCTTTTAGGGCAGTTTTGGGGCTGGAGCCTTGTTAGTGCCATAGTTTGCTCGCGCCGGGTCACACCAAAAACCCGACCCCGTTTCTTCCAACTCGTGTTATACAAGTTCAGGGCGGCCCCAAAATCAACACACCCACCAAAACCGGGGCAAACAACCCGGTTAATCACTCGCCGGCCCGACAGGGGTAACTCCTTGCCCGTACAACCAGGTCACCCCCCCCTTTCCAGACGCCCACGTGGCTCTGCCGGCACCGGCCCCGCCAGGTCCCAGCCCTGGAAAAAGCTTGGTGGAAGGTGCCGGGTGGCAGGAATCCCACGGGATTCCTCCTGGCTCTCTCGCCCCTGCTCCCGCTGATGGCCAGGGGTGATAAAAGCAGGTGAAGAAAAGGCTGCGAGGACCTTGGCTTTGCTCCCATCGCTGAGGTCCCCCCTCAGCTGCCTCCTAAATGAGCTCATTTCCCCACTAATTGCTCACCCAGGGTCACCCGCCTGAGCTGGGCCATGCCCTGGGTGCAGGAGCCAAGATGTGGGGGGCGACCCCTGCTCAGCCGAGGGCAACTCTCCTTCTAGAAAGACACAGAGTGATGTATTTATTTCTACAGAAGGAGAACAAGAGCTGGGATGAGGCAGCCTGGAAGCAAGGAGCCACTCTCCTCCTCCTCGATCCAAAGGCTCCTGGATTTGGGATTCAGCCCCCGCAGCCGCTCCCCAACTTTTCTCATCTGCTTTTTATAAGTGTGAAAAGGGAGGGGGACTGACCCACGCCGGAGACTTCAAATATTTTCACAACCTGCAATAAATCAAATTGATTGGAAAGCTCCAAATTAATTGGAAAGCTCCATTCCAGCAGCAGCCACGAGGCTCGAGGGTTAAAAGCACCCTCAAAAACCATAAAGCAGCACGGGATAGCGGGGAAACTTTGCTTAAAAAGTGCTGTAAAGCAGGGAAAAAAAAAAAAAAAAAAGATGGGCTGTGGGGCCACCATGTGTCCCCCTGGATGCCCCGAGCCTTGTCCTCCGTGGAACAGGGAGCTGTCATCTTATCACCGACCGCAGCATCCCGCTCTCCCAGTTAAACTCCAGCGCTCCAGAGGGGGTTTGACGGTTCCTCCTCCCCTTTGAACGACCCGTGCTCAGCCCCGGAGAGAAACCGGAGAGGTTTTCCCTTCGGAGGAAACCTCTGACTTCTCGTCACGCCGCCCGGACTTTGGTCGGCTCCTCCGGAGGCTGAGAGCTGGGAGGCAAATCCCTGCCCAGGGTCACGCTGACCTTCCCCGAGCTCGGCCCCACATCAGGGAACCGCATCGGGAGCCACTGTCACTAGTCCCCAGCCTCCCCACAATAACCTGCTGGATTTTGGGACCCCCGGGGGCACTTGGCTGCATCTCTGGGGTGACAACAGGGCAGGAAACGTGGGTCCTGTGTCCCTCAAAGCTCCCCGAGGCTTTAAGAGCTGTTCTCTCGTCGCCAGCCCCGCCATGAAGTTCATCTACAAACAGTGTGTCCCCCCCCAGGCACGTCAGGGACAAGATCGGGGCTACATGGGATGGTTTTGCCCCAAACACCAAGGGGGGGACACCGTGATGGAGGATTAATGTCTGACCTGACTCTTGGAGTTGGGGGAGGAAGGCAGAGGATGAGTCAGGGGCATCCGGGCCAGCAATGGGTTCGGTGGGGCAAGGAGAGCCTGTCCTCAGAGAGCCCCCCCAGAAAGGAGACCCCCCCAAGGGCACCAACCACTCAGAGAGCCCAGGCATATGGGGGTCCCTGAGCCCCAGCGATGATTTGGGGGCAGTGCCTGGGGTGCTGGGGGGCAATGGCTCCATGGCACCCCCTTGCAAAACTGAGCTGGGATCCTGCAGGGATCCCAGGGGTGGCTTAAGGGAGGCTCCCCCCTCTGCCCCCAGCACATGTAAGGGACCCCCCAGGGATCAATCGAGGGGGGATGTCCCCCAGCACACCCAGGGGACCCCCAGAGATCACCCAATGGGGGGGGACCCCTCTTCAGGGATAACTCAATGGGAAGGGATCCCCCAAGGATCACTTGAGGGAGGATTCCTCCCCCCCCAGCACAAGCAAGGGAACTCCCCAGGGATCAACTGAAGGGACATCCCCCCCAAGAATACCTCAAGTGGGGGACCTCCCCAGGGACAACTCAATGTGGGAGGGGAACCCCCACAACACCCAGGGGACCATCCAGGGACCACTCAAAGCGGGGGGAACCCCCACAACACCAAGGGGACCCTCCAGGGATCACTCAATGGGGAGGGGAACCCCCACAACACTCAGGGGACCCCCCCCAGGGATCATTCAGTGGGGAAGGAACCGCCAAGCACCCCCAGGGGACCCCCCAGGGATCACTCAATGTGGGGGGGGAACCCCCACAACACCCAGGGGAGAGCCTGTCCTCAGAGGATCGCTCAATGGGGGGGAACCCCCACAACACCCAAGGGATCACTCAATGAGGGGGAATCCCCCCCAACACCCAGGAACCCCCCCAGGGATCACTCAGTGGGGGGGAACCCCCACAACGCCCAGGGGCCCCTCCAGGAACCACTCAAAGTGGGGGAACCCCCACAACACTCAATGGATCCCTCAGGGACCACTCAATGGGGGGGCGGAACCCCCACAACACCCAGGGAACCCCCAGGGATCACTCAATGTGGGGGGGGAACCCCCACAACACCCAGGGGACCCCCCAGGGATCACTCAGTGGGGGTGACCCCCTCAAGGATCGCCCGAGAGGGGGACCTCCCCCCATAGCACACC